ACACTGGAAAAGAAATATCTTTGTTCACCTTAATTCATCTCTATGAAGAAGCCATATCAGTAAAGGAAAATTGAACATTACATTGGAAACAGCATTAAGAACAGCAGAAATTTGAATAATTTTCAGTTTGGTACTACAACGCCAATCTATACAACATCAAAGATTCAACAACTTTAATCAATGGAAAACACACAACAAAATATGAGTACAGCATAAGCATTTTAAAATCTAAACAATGACCCCCCAAATTAAACAAATAATCAACAACTTCAAGTGCCTGTCAACAATTAGACAATATAAAAAAATGTACCTATACCAATCTTTCCACCAGAAAAAATCAAATTCAGTTGAGAGATCAACAAATTGGCAAACGTAGAAGGCACAATTCCTAAGAGAATTGAACAGTAAAACAAATGAAGCACAATTAAGGACAAACTACTGTCAGAAAAGAACATCAGATAATATAAATAACAAATTGATGAAACACAACTTACCTTTGACAATGTCCTCTTGCTTTTGATAAAATTTCACTTCAGGAGCAAAGAGAACACTGGTGAGATTATGTTTCAAAAGCAGACAACAACTCCCAGCAGGGTTGGTGGAGTGAAAAACTATCATTGGATGAACAACATCACTTTTTTCTTGGAAAATTAATAATATCACCTGATCCAGATGTTGAACAAGAACCAGAAGCAATCCAGCTTCCCCACTCATTCCTGCAGTTATATCGATGCAAGTTCCTTCAGCCAGATTGATTAAATCTCTGATATACCAAAAACCAGCAAAGGAAAAGCAAAATCACCAATTTTATCTCGAGTTTCTGTATCTCGTCATAGATTTACCTGACCAACATTCTGACAAAGATGAATCAAATTGAAGACTTGTGTAAAACTAGGAAAGATACGAGGAAAAATTATTGTAAAACTTTCAAGATTGTATAAATGTCAATTAATATGTTTGATAAGGAGTAAAATGCTTGGGGAGGACTGTTGTGTAAAGATTTTAGGACCTGCAATGATGGCACAGAGTTGTTCATCAATATGTATAAATCAATAGTGAGGATAGAGTTAGAGTTGTCAAATGTATGACTCTAGAAGAGTGAGCATGAACATGAACACAACAAAGGTGTTGTAATCATTACATAATGTAACTATAAGTTGGAGCCTGGTGTATAATTATGATGTGTAATACTATTTAGTACGAAGTATAATAAATTGTGTTACTTTGAAGTTTAGGCCTGAACAAGCCCCTTACTTTGGCTTCTACATAGAGTTGTAGAGTCATACAGCACAGAAACAGATCCTTTAGGCCAACTTGTCCATGCCGACCAGACATCCCAATCTGACCTACTCCCATTTGCCAGCATTTCGCCCATATCCCTCTAAACCCTTCCTATTCATGTACCCATCCAGATGTCTTTTAAATGTTGGCATTGTATCTGCCTCCACCACTTCCTCTAACAGAAAGACTCATATCAGTCTGTCTTGAACCCTAACTCATTATGTGGTATCAAACTACATGTCAAAAGAACCAAGCTCTTGTTCTTATCTTTAAAGACCACAGGGTTTGTTGCCATCACAATGCAGCTCCACTTTTCCTGGCTCTCGTTTCTATTCTGAACTTGCACTGGAGCCCTGGGCTCTATCTAGTGGTAGATGTTGGTCAATGCAGGTAGCAGCTATAGTCATAGAGATATACATCACGGAAACAGACCCTTCGGTTCAACTCGTCCATGCCGACCATATATCCTAAATTAATCTAGTCCCATTCAGCATTTAGCCCATATCCCTGTAAGCCCTTCCTATTCATATACCTATCCGAATGCCTTTTAAATGCTGTGATTGTACCAGCCTCCACCATTTCCTTTGGCAGTTCATTACATATACACACCACCTTCTGTGTGAACAAGTTGTCCTTTAGGACCCTTTTAAATCGTTTCCGTCTCATCTTAAACCTATGCCCTCTGGTTTTGGACTCCCTACCCTAGGGAAAAGACCTTGACTATTCACTCTATCCATGCCCCTCGTGATTTTATAAACCTCAATAAGGTTACCCCTCGGCCCTATGTGCTCCAGGGAAAGTAGCCCCATCAGACTCCAGTTGCCTTCTGCACTCACCAACCTTTGCTAATAGATGGATCCTAATTAATCTAAAATAAAATTGAATATGTTTCTTAATATTTATTTAAATTTATGTATGTTGTAATTTTAATATTTTAAAACAGTAAAAATGTTATTTATGAATGTGGCTATTTAAGAATGTAGAGAATTGCAACCTGTAATGTTTTAATTCTTTTTTTGTTGAGAATTGTCCTAAAGTTTGTAACTGTGCAGTTTTCTTTTATATTTAGTGATTTGTTTAATTTTGCAAGCCGTTGCAGCTCAGAATGTAAAGTTATACATGTGAATGATACAGTCTTTCAAATTGTACATTGGTCTTTCTGGTGAGAAATGTTCAAGGGAGCCCAACTCCAATATTAACATTGAAACCCATGATTCACTTAAGATTGTTTCACATAAAAGTGTGACGCTCCTCCCAGCAACACAACCACAATTGTGGGGATCTCATAAAGACCTTTAAAATTTTAATGGACGAGATGGTGTAAGTACAGAAAGGATGTTCCCGATGACTGGGGAGTCCAGGACCAGGTGCCACAGTCTAAGGATTGCCATTTAGGACTCAGATGAAGAAAAGGTTCTTCACAACGAGAGTGGTGAATGTGTTGAATTCTCTGCCACAGAAAATTGTTCAAAACATTGAATGTTTTCAAGAAGGAGTTAGATATAGTTCCAAGGGCTATCCTGAGCTGGATAATCATAATCATTTTGAATGGTAGACCAGGCTTGATGGATTGAATGGCCTATTCCTACTCCTATTTTCTGGTTATTAATTATAAGTAAGGGCTTACTTTATTGAAATCTATGACATTTCTGAGCCTAAGGCCTAAGGCAGCATGCAAATTTCATGGAGTTCAACAAAGCCATTATTGGACTGGATGTTTTCACAATGTTCACAAGATAAGGTCCTCAAGCATGTAACTAAGTTTAATTCAAAACTACTAAAAAGGTTGCGGTCACAATCATTTATGAATCTATATGTGTAAATTCATAACAAAATCCAATTCTCAAGCAAACATTTAACTTTACCAAATCAATATTTATTGGACATAATATTTGGTAAACTTCACAGCAACACTTCTGAATACAGAGATTCTCAGGTGCTTGTGGAAACGACATTGAGAAGTATTTTCTTAAGTCTGGTGTGGTGTGAGTAATGCCGAGAAAGATAGGAAAATATGAAAATGAAAATATTGGGTTGTGACCTCGAGAATTTTTTTTCTGATTTTCTCCTCAATCCATAATTGGCAACTTTAGAGTCTTGTTGTTGAGTGGGGACTATCCTATTTTCATGCATTTGTATCTCATTAAACACCAAATCATCTTATTTATTTGCCACTTTCAATTATCTCCTTCCTTGAGAAACTAGATGGCCCAGATGTCTGATGTGTAAGCCAAAGCAGGTACCCAGTGAAAAAACTTGTCCCAGCCATCACACAACTGCTTCTTCTGCGCAATGTCCTGAATGCTCCACAACCACCAACCTCCTTGATCCTTTGTCCGTATAAATCAGTCTTGGCAAATCACCAGCCACAACATATCATCATGCTGGCTCTTGGGTCAACTCACACCTCATTTCAGCCCTTAGACCAAACACCTCTGACTTGTAAGCTGCTGCCAGGTTGCCTTGTGTGGAGGGACATCTGTTCAGGATGCATGTTACAACTCTTCACTTACTTTCTTGGTGCTCTTTGTGCTTACTTGGAGATTGTCAGCCCCTGTTTACTTTCTTTGCACATATTCACTGACTCACAGACTGCTAGCTTCTGTATAGGCCCCATTGCTTTCTTAGTGCACAGGGTCTTCAGTGGTCAATCATAGACTGCCAACTACTGTGGCTTACATTGCCTTTTTCCACAGCAGGAGGAAAGTACGTTGTCATGGTGGAGGGCACTGAACAGTTAATGGGGTGGATATGTCGCTGTGTGGCACCATGCCACAGCGTGCTATGTCACATCAGCAGCACATACCAGCAATTGTGCAGCAAACACACTGCTTGTGCTTCAAGCACTTGACTTTGTGTGAAAGTCAAAGAGGAGCAGTCCTTTGTGGGGTAAAGGGGGCTAGTATTGTCTCAGTAAGTCAAGTGCCTCGTCGATTCCTGTCCAGGTGGGCTACCAGTAGTCAGTCAGGCATGCAGTGTATGCTTCTGCACTTCAGAGGGGAGGGAGGAGTTTCTCCTGCGGTTAAACAAAGGAAGAGATGGAGTACAATGGAAGTAGATGTAAGAGCAGACACCACCCACCCGCCCACCACCACCAGTACACACACAGTGATTAGGAACCAGAGGGCAAGACGGGTTAGTGGTTTGGGAGGATGAGGTGGTGAGAGCCATGGAGTGGACATAATACAATAGTGAGAGTTATAGTCCATGAACCTTGATGAAACGTATGTGCAGTGGCAAAGCTATAGTGAGTGTTAGCCCTGTGAGTGTGAGGTTGCAGAGATAAGATGGTGACACTCACCTATGTGGAGAGCAGAAGACCAATAACATTCTTGAACTGCTGGGCATCTCAGAACACAGCTGTGACTTGTGTCCTGGCTGGCTGAGTCTGGGGGCATGACTCCAAAATCATTGAACTGGAAAAAGGATGGCCTTCTTCTTCGCCACTTTGTCACCAAGACCTCTAGGACTCTGCGTGAGGAATGAGCTTTATCTTTGAGCCATGTCCTGAATGTAGTGACTTGACGACCACAGGTTGAAGGCCGATGCCTGTCTTGCAGTCTATGAGATGGTGTGCAACCGGTCTTTAAATATAGGGGCATGCTTAAGTATCCTTAAGGCTAATTATAGCTTAAAGTATTGGATGCTGAATGTAAATTTGGTTTCTTGCAGTTTTGTAAGGTCTTTAAAATAACATTCTGTGTAATTATTTTCCGTAGGATGAAGGTATCGTGAAAGAAATAGATATTAGCAACCATGTAAAGGAAGGCTTTGAAAAGGCAGATCCCTCTCAGTTTGAATTGCTCAAAGTGCTGGGTCAGGGATCCTATGGAAAAGTAAGTAAATTACTAGAATTGTTTGGTTTCTGATGTCCTGCTGCATGAATCACAAAACGTTAGTTTGCAGGTTATTATGGGAGAAGTGCAGTGGGCAATAAAGTCCCACTGCTTCACAAATGTCTCAAAAGTGTAAGTGTCCCACTGAGTCTTCAAGATAGTTGAATTGTCTTACTTGTGCAATTACACAGGACAAAAAAAAACTCCCACCAGGTTTCATCAATAAATATATACTTATTTATGGACAAACTTGGTCTCTAACAAATGGTGAAATGATATATTACTATGTAAACTTAAACTACATCCCCTTTACATGCAAACATGTACACATTCACACACAGACAGAGTTATTACGGATATTATGAGTCTTGATATATTCTTGTCAATCAAGAATCCCACGACAAGGACTGAGGTAACTTTCTCACAGTTCTTTTGGATTCCGTTGATGAGATCATGTTGCTGTTGGTCACAGCGTGATCAAAGCTCCTCAGTTCAGTCACTCAGACTCACGTCTTTTATTGGGTTAACAGTTCAATGTTCAGAATCTTGGAATGTTGTCTTTTACTCAGAGAGAGAGAAAAACAGAGTGGGAGAGAGAGTACTATTGCTTTGTAAACTTCTCCACAGCTAGAAAGATTATTTTCTTTCCCAGGACGGAGCGAGAGAGAGAGAGACATTGTTTTTTTACTGCAGGCTTCTTGGAGTCTCTTTTCAACTGCACAACTCCCAGCTTGAGGCAAAACAGAAAATAACAATCCAAAAGCTATTGCTCACCAACCTGCAGCCCAATGTTCCTGCCAACAGTTTGTCTAGCAAAAGTAACAAATCCATGTGCTTCTGCGAAGGCTACTTTACCCTTTGTAAACATTATGTGAAGCACAACATAGTCCCTCTTTAGATCTTTCAGTTCCAAAAGGACACATAGTAAACTCTCTGCATCTAGGCATTGTCCACAACTTTTATTTTCAAGTTTTCCTTCTGAATAATATTTACCAATAAAGCACAGTAAGTAATTAAGAAGGCAAATTAAATGTTGCTGTTTAATGAGAAGTAGATGGACTAATATGAAAATAGGGAAGTTTTACTGCAGCTCCTTGCAGCTCTTTAAAGGGCCGTGGTGAGACAAAATATGGTGGACATTCATTTTGAGAAAGATATAATTACAACAGAAGCAGTTGACAGTCCCCTCGGACTCATTCCTGGGATGAAAGTCTTATCTTAGGAAAAACCGTTAACAGCTTGGGCCTACACCCTGATTTAGTTGTCCCCAAATCTTGTTTCCTGTAGATCAGTTTATAAAAAGGAGTTCAACAGGTCACTGATTTGCAATTGGCCATTTTGTAAAACTGCCCTTGACCAGTGTTTCAATAGTTTCAATAGCTTCAGTCCTAATGAAAAAGCGATTTCTTTTAAGCAAATAAACAACAAACACCTAAAAATGATGAAATGTGCAAATTGATACTACCTTAATGAAATTGGCCAAGTTCTCACTACCCCTGGCCTCTGTTGTAAAAACAACCAGTCAGCTGATCTGTTGGTGACAGTGTCTCCGTGCACTACCTACAACTCAACTATAACGTTGTTAATTCTAGTTGCCCATACTCCTGGTTGTTTCATTTCATGACCTACTACAACATGTAAAATATACATTTCAAATATCTTTATGAATCATAAACAAAAGTGTTCAAACCAATGAAAAAGAAACAAGATAGTCTGGATTAAACACTCACCTGCTGGTGGGACTGAAAAGGAGGGGGGGGTGGTGTTTCATGAATCCAGCGAGTGATCAGCCTGCACTGCAAATATACCACTAGCCAGTGTATTAACTGAGGCTCTTAGGTAAGCAATTAATGCCCACGTAAAGGTATCATTCTGCCACCAAAATTAAACTGCCAATGGGAGAGGTCCACGCTTAGCAGCCAGCCTAGTAGATTTCCAAGGATGGGTTGCTGGGCTAGGGATGGTAATAGGGTGATGGGGATTAAGCATCCTTCATCTACCTCCTCTGCGGGCACCCCAAATCTGATGTTTTACCCCATGGAGAGGTCGTGGGGAATCTAGAGTCTTGTATCATGCTACGAAAGTGCTGATTTTCCTCCTGAACTGTTTGCTGGAGAGTCCAGATGATTAATCCCCTCACCCCAACCCCACACGCTCCTACCTCTCCTGGGAACTGGCAAGCAAACACACCACGGTTTCCATGTCATGTATGATGAGCTCCTACCAGCCATGAGGTTACTACCAGCAGTGCTGGGATGTGGACCTTATTTTGTAACTAATTGCCCTCTTAACGGCCTCAATTGATGGGAGGGTCTTCCTGACCCAGGATATATTTGGGGTCATGGTAGGTACCGGTTTGCCACTGTAGTTCCTGATTAAATGCCACAATCCCACAACTGAACTCACCATGTGGAAGACACAAAATTCTACCCATGATGTATAAATCAGCTGTATATTAGGACTAGGAGTAGGCCATCAGCCTCTTGAAGCTTTTTCCACATTCATTAAGTTTGTAGAGAAAGAGTTCAAATTTAACATTTATGTGCAATAATGTTCCAGACTTTTCAGGAGGACTTTTATAAGTCATAAACTCAAACTTGATAAGTTTTTTTAGGGGTTTCAAAACTTGCACCAGCTCACAAGAACATCATGGGGAAAAAGATTAAAATTTTCGGTGGTCTGCACGATGATAAGCACCTCAGAGGAGGTATGTGTGAGATTCATACGCAAAGTCTTTGAGACCCACAGACAGGTCACATCAAGATCACGGGGTCAGGAATGCACAGCAATTTGGAATTTGAAGCCAAAATTCATTTTTTTTTACTTTTTTAACCCCACCAGGAGATGAAAATCCAGCCCCAGAAGTTGGTGTCAATTTCAATGGAGCAATGATGACAAATGCAGAGAATTTTGCTATCATTACTTCTACAAAATCTGGACCATTTTTACAATAACAGCAGTCATGACAGCAACAAATTGCCTTCATCAAATGTCTTTAACAAGTTGCTTGATGAAATTAAAATAAATTAGGGAGGTGATACAAAGGCAAGAAAAGAGCAGTTAAGAGTTGTAAGGAAAAAAGTGAAAAAACAGTACCCTTCTCAGTACATTAATGTAACTAGGAATACAAAAGGATCATATTTTAGTAAGTGTGTGCTTTCCTGAGAAATTGACTATTTTGCAGGTCTGTTATTCTGAGAATACTAATGTACCCTGTTGCTGACTTGCCAGATACTATAGAGGTCTGTACAAGGTGGAATCTTGTTTGGGGTGATCCTTGTGGGTGTGACACAAGAAAACATGTCATTGCAGGGTTACAATTGTCTTCACTACCAGTCTTGCAGCTTATTGTCTGACTTCCATAGAATGTAAATACTAATCCACTTTTTAATTTGGGTTCTTTTTGGATTGAAGGTCACCTAGCCTTGGTTCTGCATGGTGTGAATTAATAAATCTTAAGGAAAGAATAAATTGAATTAAAGAACTTAGGCAATATTTAAAGAAGACAGGATGATCTGAATGAGTTGATTAAAGTGGTCGCATAACTTAATGAACACATCAGTTCACAATAAACTGTCAATAACAGGTAACTTCTTTGATAGAGCAGTAGTGAGTATCTCTATTAGTTGGGGAGAGCCCAGGATTTGATTCCCCAATATTATGTGATTCTTTTACATAGAGTTATTTTCTAGTAGGGCTGTATCTTTTCTTACTGTGTAGTGAAACTTCCTTCCAAATTTCTTGCTGCAGAAGACAACTGTGGGAGCTCTTAGCCATATATGCCAGTGTCTTAAATGAAAGAACAATGACTTATATATTCAACATCACAGATGATGATGATTTAGGAGACACAAACATAGTGTCAATGGGAGCATATAAATTCAAAGTTACATTGATGAAATGAATGGACAAAACTATGATGCATTAGTTCAATGTGGAAAAATATGAGGTAGTCCATCATGGATCCTAAACAGGTAAATCAATTTGTACTGAATGACAAAAGTCAGGGTGTGTGAAGGACCAAAAGCACTTGTGTCTCTATGTACAAATCACTAAGCTTAGTGCACAGGTACAGAAATTATTCAAAAGGTTGATGCCGCATTGGATTTCATCACAAGCCAGCTAAAAATACAAAAAGGAGAAAACTCTGCTTCAGTTATATACAGACTTTAACAGACCCCATTTGAGGCCCTGCATTCTGTTTTGAGACGAAAATAATAAACTGCCAACAATCCTCACTTATAAGTACCTGACAGTGAAAAATCTCCCATTCATGAAACCCATTCAAAGCTTTTAAATCTCCTGTTTTAGTTAACCTCTTATTAAAAACAAACAAACTTCTATTCAGAGCCCATTTCAAAGACAGTTAATTCATTATTAGCCTCTTTAAATTGCTAATCAACCCGTACACTCGGACACCCGTGCTGAGATAAGTAACACTTTGTTCAATTTTCTTCCAAGGTATTTCTCGTTAAGAAAATAAAAGGCTCTGATGCTGGGCAGCTCTATGCCATGAAGGTATTAAAGAAGGCGACACTGAAAGGTAAGTGCTAAAGAGTTGACACATTACATAAATCCAAATGATTAATCAACGATGAGATGTTATCGGGTTGTGTTTACAGCTATATTGAGCTTGACCCATATTTCCTGAAACTAAGGATTTACTGCTTCATCCTGCTACCTCCAGCTTTCTTCAAAAGGTATTTATATATTGTAACAGATGCAAATAAAGACTGAAAGACAGTAAAACAGAGTAAAAGGAGGCCAATTTGCTTCGTCAAACAGCAATTTACATCATCATGGATTCTATCCAATGTATCTAATTCCCTAATGAAGGTGTGCAATCTTAGTTACAGCCCTTTTAAAAGTAAAATTCTACAACTTATCCTTTAAACAGTTCTTCACCATGTTAACTGAGAAAATGTATCAATGAGATTCAAAACCCCAACAGCACAAAAACAATGACATTTTATAGGAATTACTGCAATTTACATCTTTACAGCGCTGTTAACATGGTAAAATAATCTACGGCAGTGTACAGAAGCATTGTCAGAAAATATTTGATATCAAACCAAGCAAGAAACTTTTAAAAAAGGTTGTTAAAACGTTTGTTTTAAGGAATAATTTAAATGACAGATGAGTAGAGATCTTAATGTTTGGACACCTGTATGGAATGCCACTAATATGCAGTGAAAGAAGTCAAGAATATGAAAGAGGCCAGAATTGGAGCAACAAGAAGATATCAGAGGGTTGTAGGATTGGAGACGTTTACAGAGATAGAGAACATGGAGGAATTTTAACACAAGGATGAAATGTAAAAAATGAGGTTTTTACAGCCTTGAAGCTAATGTATATCAATAAGCACAGGGGTAAGGGGTGAATAAGACTTGATGTGATTGAATTCAAGTGCCAGAGGTTTGGATGAGCTCAAGCTTCGAAAAAGTGAGGCCAACCAGAACAGAATGCAGTCGAGTCTTGGGTTTCCACAATAGACGAGATGGGACTTGGATGGAAATGGGATATGATCGAGGTGAGAGTAGGAAACCTTAATAATGGAGAGGATAAAGGTTGAATGTTTAGTTCATGTTCAAATGAGATGCAGGAGATTGGGAACAGTTTGGTTCACTCTTAAAGAGTGACCAAGAATGAGGTTAAAGTCAGTGGTCCAGGAATAAAGTTTGTAGTACAGACCAAAGATAATCACTTCAGCCTTCTCAATATTTAATTCATGGAAATCTCTACTCACTTAATGTAGACAAACAATTTGATAAATCATAGGCAGCCGAACATGGATTGAGAAACATAGGCAGGAAACCAAAACATTGTCGACAGATTCTTTTGAAGGACACTAACAACATTACATAATACATTAAAATCTTGACACAGTCTTTCTCCACCACCACCACCCACTTCCCCCCCCCACCCCACCCCATTAGAATGCATGGTGAAATGCAGTACCTCCCTTACTTGAATACTCCAAACAGTCTTCTACCGGATTTAGATTATTTCTGCCACTTGCCTCTTGATTCACAGACTACTTCAATATGACCTGACACACTGATATATTTGTCACTGCTTGAATGGGGGTGGGGGAAGGCTTCTTCTTTCAATGGAGCTTGTAGAGCCCTCCTTGGTTTAAAAACAAACAAAACCTATGATGCAGTCATGATATTTAGATAACTGATCTTGCAAATAGGTTGAACAGTTGGAAAACTGTTCACTTGTGTCATAAACAGTTTTGTTTCCCTATGGCCAATTTGAGAACATTTAGCATCACTCTCACCAAGATCAACTTCCTCAAACACAGATTGGGAATTGAACAGTGGACCTTTCTGGGATGATTTTCCTAAGAGTCACTCTCCCACAGTCACTGTAATTTTGACAAGACTGCAACAGGTACCCCATCTTTTGCAAAATTGCATTTTTGATGTTCTATTACCAAAATTGCACTGGCAGAATGAATGAACAAAAAGAATTGCAGTTACATAATGCCTTTCATGACATCAGGATGTCCTAAAATGCTTCAAAGTTAACTAGGTACTTTTGAACATACCAATCTGTAGGGGGGGGTGATGGTGTAGTGGTATTATCACTGGACTGTTAATCCAGATAACATTCTGGGGACCTGGGTTCAAATCCTGCTATGGCAGATGGTGGAATTTGAATTCAATAAAATATCTGGAATTAAGAGTCTAATGATGATCATGAAGCCATTTCTGATTGTTGGGGAAAAACCCAGCTGGTTTGCTAACATCCTTTAGGGAAGAAAACTGCCATCCTTACCTGGTCTGGCCAACATGTGACTCCAGACCTACAGCAATATGGTTGACTCTTAACTGCCCTCTGGGCAATTAGGAATGGGCAATAAATACTGCCTATCCAGCAACACCCTCATCCCATGAATGAATAAAGAAAAAATGCCCTGCCCTATTTCATTTATCTATGGACAAGCACGCCAAGATCTCTCTATTCCTGTAATAGTCAAGCATTTCTGCAAAGGAAATTCAAATACCATATTTTTAAAATAAGTAACTCACCAAGGCCAACTCTATCAAGAAGGGGTGAAAGGAGAGAAAATGTTAATGAATAAAGGAAACAAAAAATCAGTATTTGCATAGCACAGCAATACAAATAGCAAAGTCAAAATGACCAGATAATCTGTCTTTAGTGATGTATGTTGAGGAGTAAATATTGTCCATGACGAGAGTGAGAATTCAAAATAATGGCAGGGAATTGCTTAGGAGAGATAGTAGGAACTGCAGATCCTGGAGAATCTGAGATAACAAGGTGTAGAGCTGGATGAACACAGCGGGCCAAGCAGCATCAGAGGAGCAGGAAGGCTGACGTTTCGGGCCTAGACCAAACC